AGATTCGAATTCAAGACTAGATAGACTTTACATGATAATTTTGTGTGAAAATTCTAAGGAAATATTACTGATTAATAATATTTCATAGTTGAGGAGGCTCATTTCGTTCTGTTGCCAATTGTTTCTTAGGTATGTACTATATTACGTTGCTTTTAGTATATATAGGTGTTAGGTTGATGATCGCTCAACTATAACAACAAAAATGGATGCTGTAATTTGTCTTTTGAACGTAAAAACTTGAGATTATTTTAGGCTTTAGATAAAATTAGAAAGAGGGTTGAAAATCATTAAAAACGGCGGTGACTGGTTCCACCTTCACCGAACGCGCTGTTCTTCAATGGCAAATGAGATTTAAAAAATAATTTCTTTAAATTAAATAAAGAAAAATCCCCAAAAGGGCGAAGAAAGAAAAATCCTCTGGGATTTATTAAAAAACAACGACGAAATCGAAAGAAAAAGGAGTTGCAGACATCCGGGGAGAGAGAACAACTCTCCTCTAAAGGCTTCCCAAAAATGCAGGCATGCCTTTCTTTTCGTCTTTCTATCTCTAATTTCTCTTACATTCCTCTTGAATTTGTTCTTTAATGGCAGGGATCCAAAGCAGCCATTAGTTTATTCCAATTTCAAGTTGTGGTTATTTCAGTTTGTCTCTTCTCATTCTCTTCCACTCTCAAGGTTTTCATCTCCCTCTTCCGATTTGTTTATTCTCAATTTTGTCGATCGTTTCCTACAAATCTCGTCCCTCTTCTTCCTTTTAGATCGGAGAAACTTGCTCCTCCGGCGCCAAATGCGATTCCGGTCTTCTTTGCAGCACTTGCCCTGCCAATGGAAACACGCGGCCGAGATGCACTCGTGTCCAGCCTATAAGTCCAACGTCGAAGGCGAGTCTCCACGATCGCCTCTGATTTTAAGTTTCCCCTGTTTCATCGATAATTTTGTGTGGCGTTTGTTCAGGTGAAGGGTCTGCCATTCAATCGTTACTCATGGCTTACGACTCACAACTCCTACGCTCGTTTCGGCGACAAATCGGCGACGGGATCGATCCTCATCGCGCCCACCAATCAGGAAGACACCATCGCCAGTCAACTGAACGTAAGTTCATTACGTTTTTCCTTCTTCGCCTAACCCTTTACAACGAATTTCCATTGTCTAATTAAATTTCGAAAAAATGAAATCAAATGGAATCTCATATTATTTAATTTGTGTTATGTGAATAATCTTTTTAAAAGTGGAAGCTGTGTCCAAAATAACAAATCTCGGTGGTGGCTGTTACATTACATCACATGCTTGGTTTTGGTTTATTCCATTTGCGCTTTAGCTTAAGATCAAAGCATAATCCCTCAAGTAACGACAATTATATTTCAACAAACGCAACCTAATCTTTACCGTTTTCCATATATTTTTCAAATTTTAATTTTGGTACGAAGTTTATGGTTTGATTTTTCTTACGGGTTAATAATGAATTTTGTAGAATGGAGTTCGTGGGCTGATGTTGGATATGTACGACTTTCTGAATGATATTTGGTTGTGCCACTCCTTCGGTGGCCAGTGTCTGAATGCCACTGCATTCGTAAGTGCTCTCCTCAATTCTTCATTATTATCATTTTTTTTTAATTTGGTACACATAATTTTTAAAATAATTATTAGAGTTAATGGGAAGGTAAAATACAAACTACTCTTGGGGATATTATTCGCAAATCATGCCGATACAATTTGTTGTTGTCCATCTTTAATTAGCTTAATCACTTCCTATTCTGGCTTTATTTTCTTAAAATTAAGAATATTTATTATTTTTGTAAAAAATGAATTTTTAAAAATTGCTTTAAAAAAACTTCAGGGCTTTACTAAAAATGTATCTTCTTCAACGAAATCATTGACATTGTATATTTTGCATCAACGAAATAAATATTCAACTGTATTCAAATTATCTTCCGTGATATTTGTAACTTTCATATGGATTGATAATGGGGAAAAAAACAGTTCTTTGAATTGTCTTTTCAAATATCAAAATTTAAGACAATTAAATATTATTTAATTTTAACTATTATTTTAGAATAAAAAAGAAAACATATTAGTAAAACCAGGATGAACATTGTGATATATTATGATGTTAATTATTTGAAATTTTGAAAACCTTATCCATCAACTGTTTGACTTTTTCCAGCAACCAGCGATCAACGTGTTGAGAGAAATTGAGAAGTTTTTAGGAGCAAACCCTGAAGAGATTGTCACGATCTTCATAGAAGACTACGTGAACTCTCCACAAGGTTTGAGTAAGGTGTTCGATGCTTCTGGGCTGAAGAAGTATTGGTTCCCAGTTTCCAGAATGCCCCAAAAGGGTGAGGATTGGCCAACCGTAGATGATATGGTAAAGCAAAACCAGAGATTGCTAGTTTTCACCTCTAAAGAATCGAAAGAGACATCGGAAGGCATTGCTTATGCGTGGCGTTATGTCATCGAAAGTCAATGTAAGTTCATCTTCATTCCAAATCCTCATTTTACTTGCGTTTTAATGACACTTGGGGACACATTCATTCTCAGATGGGGATGAAGGAATGAAGCCTGGATCCTGTCCAAACAGAGGAGAGTCGCCCCCGATGGATACGAAGACGAGATCCTTGATCCTCATGAACTATTTTACTACTAATCCCAACACAACAGCCGTTTGCTCAGAAAATTCAGTCCCATTAATCAGCATGATGAATACTTGCCAACAAGCAGCTGGCAAACGGTGGCCAAATTTCATCGCTGTTGATTTCTATCAGGTGACATTTTCTTGAGAATGTACAGCATCTCATCTCAGCTCTGAATTTGCATTTTATTAACTTTATGTCAACATCGTTGCTTGTAGAGGAGCGATGGTGGAGGGGCTCCAGAAGCTGTGGATGAAGCCAATGGTCATCTCACTTGCGGGTGTAATAATATCGCCTATTGCAAGGTTTGAAACCCGTTTTATATCCTCGTTATATGATTAACGTGAAAATTTTAAATATGCATAAACTAGAATGCGTTTGAATTGAATTGAAAAGGATATGCATTATTACTTGAAAAATGAAAACAACCTATGGTATTTGAGAAGAGGATGTTGGCTAACGGAAAATTGAATGGATAAGCAGGGAAATGCCACAGGTGTATGCGACAACCCACCGATTTCTCCCCCTCCACCGGCCGCCTTGGAACCAGCGGAAGGCGACTCCAATGAAGCCCACTTTAATGGCAGACCAGTGGAGCTCAGGTGGTTGGTCGGAGCAATTTTGTCCATGACACTGTTACTACGCCTCAATTAGTCATTATTCTGGTAGTCTCTGCTCTTCAGTGTGGGGAACCACACGCCACTCCCCCCTTCGATAACATTGACAACCAGTTGATCTCCCGTACTACGGATACAAATTATACTTGATCTCCCTTCGAATATTAAACTTTTTCAATTCAAACACGTTTGAGAATGCTTCTGAAAGCAGTTCCTTTGTTTATTAAAATATATGAATACAGCTGAGAAATGATCAATGATGCATACAGCTGGATAATGGATAAGTCGCATGGCATTCAATGCTAGTTTTAAATGGCATTAAAGTCATCATCAATAAGAAAGGTACAAATCTATCAAAAAGGGATGCTCAAAAATTCATTTCAGCAGAGAAATGGACCACTTTTATCAGATGACAGGTTTTTAGAGAGAGACTATATCATAGCTGTCAAGTAACATCAAGCTAGAGCTTTGCTGCCCTTTCCCGAGAGAAAATGATGCAAAATTCCTGTTACTAGGAGCTGAAGGGACCCCTTAATTTATTAGGCCCAATCAGGAAACGGATTATCACGTTCATACATTGTTCATAAACTGGATACAACTTTATAAGCTGTAAATTGAAAATAATGGTTATAAATGAAGTGTGAATGCTCTAGATGAACTTTTTCCTATTATATTCAAATTTCTGATTTTGAACAGTGGGGGAATGGAGCAGACGATGTAAGAAAATAACAATATACCTCATGCTCTAAGACCATCTTCGGAGGGGCATTGACAGAGACATGAATTGATTTTATCTTTTCAATGGTATAAGGATTGCGAACGGAAGCTATAGACAGCAAAAATGATGAAGAGTAAGCACTATACATATTGGGATCGACATTGGTGTGGCCGTGTAGGACAGCTTCTAAATGGAGGATCTGGCATTACGGTTGCGGATGACTATTTGGGCGTCCCCGGGCTGGAAAAGTTGACTGCAACTCGTTTTGATGTTATTGCCTATTCTCATTGTCAAGTACTGAGTTCGTCCCCATTGCTGCCACCCAATTCTGTCGCCTGCCTCTCATTTAAACCATCCTTTACATTGTCTGAATGTGAGTTTTCTGGGACCCTTCCAGCTTTACGATCCTAAGACAAAAAAAATTTCAGGGCTATGATCAATATGAAGCAAATTTTAATAGGTTGGAAAGAAAGTGCAGCATTCAATGAATTAAAAGTTCTGTGATTCCCGACCGAAGCATATTTTCTACTTCCTGATTCTAGTCTCACCAGATAGCAGCAGAAGCAACGAGTGATCGTTATAGAAACTTACCTGTCAACTAATAATACATGCGTAATAAGAGGAAAATATGGTCACTTGCAGTATGGTGACTAGCATGAAAAATTGAGTGAAATGACTCTAAAGATACATTTTGACAGATTAGGATTAAGATTTCCTCTGCATACTGAAATTAACTATATGCCACCTAAGTATTTATCTTTTCATTCATTATCTGAAACTGACAGTTGCTGGATCCATTGACTACATCCGCCATGGCATTGTGCAACTCCAAACTTCCCAGGTATTAATAGAACGATCAAAGACATAAAACGATAAATGAACTTCAAGTAGAGTTTGTTCCATACCCCTTTAAAGGTAGCCTCTTCAGCCTCAAGCATATGAATAATATGTCCCATTTTTGGCCGCTTCTGAGAATTTGGGTCCACGCATCGTAACGCAACAAGAAGAGCCCGCTTTAATGCTCTTGAAGTAGGCTTTTCAGAGAGCTTTGGATCCAGTACTCCCTCTGGGTTGCGGTCGGTGACCATCCTCTTAAGCCAATCAACCAAGTTCACCTGTAAATTTGAGCCTCTGCAAACTTATAACCAAATAGAAGGAAAAGGGAGAAGGATAGGATTGTTTCATCCGGGACATAATCATGGATTTTCTTTGAAGTATGGAGCATACCTCTTCTGGAGGACGACTATAATCGACTGGGTTCCTTCCCGAGATTATTTCCATAACAAGTATTCCGAAACTATATACATCACTTCTTTCATTTAGCATACCCGTGCTTGCATATTCCGGTGCCACGTAGCTGGAAAATGCTATCAATCTCGTTAAAAACTCTACTACTTTTCCACAACAGATACCAAAAAAAATGGATATGTCAATGCTGTCAATCTCGTTAAAAACTCTACTACTTTTCCACAACAGATACCAAAAAAAATGTATATAGAGACATATCCGAAGAGAAAAGTACATACCCAAATGTTCCCATGACTCGTGTTGTGATATAGCTGTTATCAGAGCACAATAGCTTTGCAAGCCCAAAATCTGAAACCTTAGAATTCCATTGCTTATCGAGTAAGATATTGCTTGATTTGATATCCCGGTGAACAACCTTGGGTTCCAATCCCTCGTGAAGGTAAGCTAGCCTACATATGAAAGCCATAGAACATTAATGCCAAGGATGAGATACAGGCCGGGCCGGGGGATAAAGAAAAACTCAAACTTCTTCAATTGAGTTGAAGCCAGACAATACCCTTTTGCAGTTCCAAGAATTATATTCATTCTAATCTCCCAGGTAAGAGGGCTGGAAGGTCCTACATCCCCATGAAGCAATTGTTCCAAGTTCCCATTATTTATGTACTCATACACAAGCATCCTATCAACATCGCATGGAGAAAGAAAAAGCAGATTTTAGGCTCAACTTTCAACATTCCACATAAAAAATCAAATACAAGAAAACAAGTAAAATAATGGGATGAGCAAAATGCCATGATGTTTAGAACCGTAGGTAAGCAGAAAAAAGGCAGCAAACAAATTTGAGCAAAAAACAGAGTACCTATGAGCACCTTCAGCACAGTATCCAAGCAATCTAACTAAGTTCTTATGTCTAACTCGCCCAATTGCTTCCAC